TTGGGGGGAAAAGGGGAGGGCCAGTGGGAGGGGGTGGTGGGGAGGGATAGCCTGGGGAGAAATGCCAAATGTGGGTGAAGGGGAGAAGAAAAGCAAAGCACACTGCCATGTGTGTACCTACGCAACTGTCTTGCATGCTCTGCTCATGTACCCCAAAACCTATAATCCAATAAAAAATTAAAAAAAAAAAAAAAAGAAAAGAAATGATTTCCCCAAATTTTGTTGCTCTTAGTGTTCCAAAAAGGTTTTTCATTTATTTATTTATTTTATTTTATTTTTCTTGCAGACAGAGGTTCACTCTTGTTGCCCAGGGTGGAATGCAATGGCGTGGTCTCAGCTCACAGCAACCTCCACCTCTGGGTTTACGCATTCTCCTACCTCAGCCTCCCAAGTAGCTGGGATTACAGGCAAGCACCACCTCCACCTCCCAAGGTGCTGGGATTACAGGTAAGCACCACCTCCACCTCCCAATGTGCTGGGATTACAGGCAAGCACCACCTCCACCTCCCAAGGTGCTGGGATTACAGGTAAGCACCACCTCCACCTCCCAATGTGCTGGGATTACAGGCAAGCACCACCTCCACCTCCCAACGTGCTGGGATTACAGGCATGAGCCACCATGCCCAGCCTTATTTATTTATTTTTTGAGACACAGTATCTTTCTTGTCACCCAGTCTGGAGAGCAATGATGCGATCTCAGCTCACAGCAACCTTAGCCTCCTGGGTTCAAGTGATTCTCCTGCCTCAGCCTCCCAAATAGCTGAGATTACAGCACCCACCACCATGCCTGGCTAATTTTTTGTGTTTTTAGTAGAGACGGGGTTTCACCATGTTAGCCAGGCTGGTCTCCAACTCCTGACCTCTGGTGATCCACCTGTCTCAGCCTCCCAAACTGCAGTGATTGCAGGCGTGAGCCACCACGCCCGGCCATATATATTTAGACAGATAGGTTCGTAGGTAGGTAGGTAGGTAGGTAGGTAGATAGGATAGATATAGAGATTTTTTCTTTTTTTTAGAGACAGGCTCTCACTCTGTTGCCCAGGCTGGAGTATAGTAGCCTGATCACAGTTCACCCTAAGCTTAAACTCTTGAGCTCAAGCGATCTTCTCATGAGCCTCAGCCTCTGAAATAGCTGGGACTACAGGTGCCTGCCAACACATCTGGCTAATTTTTTTTTTTTTTTTTTTTGTAGAGCTGGGGGGGGTCTCACATTACCTAGGCTGGTCTCAAACTCCTGAGCTCAAGTGATCCTCCTGCCTCGACCTCCCAAAGTGTTGGGATTACAGGTAGGAACCACCATGTCTAGATTCCTAAAAAGGTTTCCATCAAGTCTAGGATCCCAAACTACATGAGACTAGAGAGCTGAGCAGAGAATCCCTCATGTTGGTCACCCGATTCTACCTCTTAGATTCATGTCTGTTTTGTAGTCACAATGCTTAACCGATTCCCATTTATCTGAGACCCACTGAGACCCCAGGCCTTTAACAGATGTGTAAGTACAAGTGTAAGTACAAAGTCACTTCATTTCCATTTTCCCTAACAAATGGGCCACACATTCTTCCCTATTAGATGCATCCTATCTATATGTCAGCCTTTGTTTGGTGTTTTAAAAGTGTATGTCATCACATCTTGACTCTGAATAAATGACATTGGAGCCTTATCAAGAAAACAAATGAAAATATTTGCACAGTTAGCTCTTAACACCTTAAGTTTCAGCTTCTGGACCCACCACAAAAGTCATACTCTGTTGTAGCAACTCTTCTTTGCTAGAGATTAAGATAAAGACACACACACACACACACACACACACCCCTACAGACCAAGACTTTAGCTTTTGTTTCTTGTTTTTAGTGTCTGAAATGGAGTCAAACCATTAATAACCAGTTCAAATGACTTTTCTAGTACAACTCATTTCCTTGTTAAAATTCTGCCTTTTCAATGCCCATCTTATTCTTATTCTTTTTTTTTTTTTTTAGATGGAGTCTCGCTCTGTCGCCCAGGTTGGAATGCAGTGGCGTGATCTTAGCTCACTGGATTCAAACAATTCTCTGTCTCAGCCTCCCAAGTAGCTGGGATTACAGGTGCCTACCACCAGGCCCGACTAATTTTTGTATTTTTAGCAGAGACTGGGTTTCACCATCTTGGCCAGGCTGGTCTCGATCCCTTGACCTTGTGATCCACTTGCCTCGGCCTCCCAAAGTGCTGGGATTACAGGCATGAGCCACTGCGCCTGGCCTGCATATCTTATTATTTAAATCTCAGCTCTCTTGGGCACCCTTAGCACCTTGGAAAGTCCCAGAAAGTTGTAGATGAAAAGCTTGCAATTTCATCTACTCACAGAGGTGCAAAGAAGCCTTCCTTTGCAGTTATTTTAAGAAAAATATCAACTAAGCACCATTTTCCTGCATGTCAATACTATGACTAGGCGGTAATCGGTTCACATAATAGATGGGAGTAACCATGTAGGTTTAAGGTTACATTGCAGATAATGAGAAAAATGAAGATGCAGAGGCTAAACTCTTTCTGAAAAAAGAGAGCTCAAGGAGGTTTCAATCTCTCACAAAGCCATTACAGAACCTTTTCAATCACTTCTTGAACACACTGGCCCCATTAATCCAGGAACCCCGACACATCTTACAAACATCAATTAAGTCTGGCAACATGTTCTCTGTACAAATAGGGAAACTTGGGTGTTTAGGGACAGAGAAGCCCAACAATGAGTCAGGGCTGCCGTGGGCTCTGGACCCAGGACTCTGGCATCTCCATCTCTGCCAAGGAGATGTGATCCACCTCTCAAGGGGATAAAGTGTCCACATAAGAAACAGGTGGCTGAGAAGGAAGTGAATACACACATGTTGGGATGGCGCAAGACAACGGATGGCCCGGATGGCCGACAGCACCCATTTGCAGCTGGGAGGGAAGCCAGCCCACACCCGCAGTTTCATTTAATCAGATGAAGATCAGCATCGTTGCAGCCCCTCCTTAGCAAAAACACTGCTCACCTTATGGCTTGTAAATTGATGCTGTGGGATACTCCATCCATCCTCACATCAAGGCTAGTTTTATCTGAGTTCAGAAATGCCTATTCATCTTTGGCCAGCTAAGTGCATAATCAGATATTCTGTTTGCAAGACTGCATGCTGAATTGGAACCCACCCCACAGTAAAGGGAGCCTCTGGACAACACTCTCTGGCTTTTCCTGTCTCCCTCACGAGGGAAAGTTAAAAGGCTATGTATATCTAAAACACACAAAGCAAGCCGGGCGCGATGGCTCATGCCTATAATCCCAGCACTTTGGGAGGCCGAGGCAGGTGGATCACGAGGTCAAGAGATCGAGACCATCTTGGTCAACATGGTGAAACCCTGTCTCTACTAAAAATACAAAAATTAGCTGTGCATGGTGGTGCACGCCTGTAGTCCCAGCTACTCGGGAGGCTGAGGCTGTAGAATTGCTTGAACCCAGAAGGCAGAGGTTGCGGTGAGCCGGGATCACGCCATGGCACTCCAGCCTGGGTAACAAGAGCGAAACTCTGTCTCAAAAAAAAAACAAAAAAAAACACAAAGCGAACCAGTGTGCTTCCTAAACTGTAGGCTTTAGGTGCTGACAGGCCTGCATATTTAAGGTCTAGCAAAGTAATCAGCTAAGCTCATCGAGGCTAGCTTTGGTATACTAGATGAACATAAGCAAACGTTCCTTTGGGTCAAGCACTACCCTTTCCAAACACCTGTGTAAGCGAACAAATAAATTGGTAATATTATGGAGTGAATGGTTTTTGCCCAGTTTTTATTGCTGAAGTGAAATACCCTGACACAATCTTTGGGAGCTACAGGTGAGCAGACACCAACCAGGATTAGGACCAGAGAGAAGAGATCTACCAACTCCAAAGAGAAACATCGCCCAGTTCTGCTCAGCCAAGGGCCCACGCAGGCTCCCTCCAACCCTGGGAAATCTTTACCAGCGCCGGGCCAGGTCACACACCACACAACTGTAGCATTCCTTCTGGAGGGGCAAATTCTCTTCACCAACCCCCTAGGCAAGTACGAGGTAGGGGATGGGAGTTGCAATCACGTGACAGCCGGCACATGCCATTCCCCTCCCCCAACCTCCACCTGACCCGACCCGCATTGCAAAAGCGCTGCCCCCGGGGTTAGTCTTTAGAGTGGGGGTGTCGGTGGGTTTCAAGCCTCCGGTTTATCCTGCGCCCTGGCCCGTTCATTCTCGGCTCGAAGTGTTCTTCTATTCAGTGAAATACCCGCTTCGATTCAGTGAAATACCCGGAGGCCTTACACCCCAGCGAAGACGCGTATCAGAGACACGGGCTACCTACCCTAGTAAGAAAACACTTGCTCACCTATAGTTGCAATTCATCTAAAATTCGCTTAGCGCTTACAGTGTGTCAGAAGCTGAGGGGCATCCAGCAGATTCAAAAGCGCTCCAGGACGGGTGCGGTGATTCACACCTGTAATCCCAGCACTTTGGGAGGCCGAGGTAGGTGGATCACCTGAGGTCAGAAGTTCGAGACCAGCCTGCCCAACCCGGTGGAACCCCCATCTCTAGTAAAAATACAAAAATCAGCCGGGCGTGGTGGCGCACGTCTGTAATCCCAGATACTCGGGAGGCTGAGGCAGGAGAATCACTTGAACCTGGGAGGCTGAGGTTGCAGTGAACCGAGATCGTGCCATTGCCACTGCACTCCAGCCCGGGCGACAGAGTGAGAGACTGTCTCTCTCTATCTCTCTCTCTCACACACACACACACACACACACACACACACGCCCAAATACGGCCCCTGCTTCCAAAAAGCCCCAAAGCTAAGAAAGTTGGGCGGGACAGCTCCAGAAGGGGAAGCCAGGTGAGAACACCAGCACCGGCCGAGGGCTCGGTCCGGAAAGGTCTCCCTGCTGCTGCCCAGCTTACTCTCCAAGGGTCTAGCGCCCAGGCCGCCCTGCCCGACGGGTCCGCGCCCCAGGCCGGTCCTCCCCTCCCCGCCTGCACTCACTGCGTCTTCCTGCGGCCCTGGTCACGGTGCAGCTCCCTCAGGTCCACCTCGGCGCGGCCCAGGAACTTGTCGAGGCCGAGCAGCGCTCGGTGCAGCACCGTGAGCTGCAGGGTGGCGGCGGCCGCGGGCCCGGAGGACAGCAACGGCGGCAGCTCGAAGGTGGCCTCCTCGCGCCACACGGGCGCGCCCAGGCTGCGCTCCGACACCGAGGTGGCGTACTTCTCCTTGCCCACCTGGATCACCGCGTACGCGTCGCTAGTGCCCCCGGGGCCCTTGGCCCGCAGGCCCCGCGCCTGCAGTACCGTCACCTGCACGTGGGTTGGGGACCACACGGCCCCCAGGCCCCGGCCCGCCGAGGCCGTTAGGGACATGGTGACCACGACGCCCCAGACGCGAGGAGAAGATCGCCGCGACTGGCGGCCTCAACGGCACTCCCCGGCGACCACTTTAAGGCTTCCGGCCACACCTCCGCCAGGCCCCGCCCGTCGTGGCCAGGGCCCCGCCCCTGCCCGCGCCGCCCGCCCCACCTGCTGCGCCGGGCCCCGCCGGCCTCCGCGGCGCTGGCAGCTCGGGGCACCAGGGCGCCGGGGGCGGGGCTGGCGGGGCCAGGCCGATGGAGGATCACGTGGGCAGGGGCGGGCGCGTGAAGAATCTGATCTGAGAGATGGTCGGTGAGGATGGGGTCCCCAGCTGCCAAAGGTCACATGGCGGGAAGGAGCTGGCCGAAGCACTGACTGGGAGTCAAACTTCATTTCCAGGGCCACATCGCCAGTCGTGGCCTTGCGCAGATTACCTAACGTCAAGCCTCAATTTCTTCACCTGACAATCATCTCCTAGGATTGCTGTAAAAATAATAATAATAATAATGCATCACAGTTCTTGGCGCAGTGCCTGGCTTATGGTGAGTTGTCAGTAAATAATCATGCCCAGCACGTTGGGAGGCTGAGACAGGAGGATCTCCTGAGCCCAGGTGTTCGAGACCAGCCTGGGCAACACAGCCAGACCCCTGTCTCTACAAAAAAATTAAAAATAATTAGATGGGCCGGGCGCGGTGGCTCAAGCCTGTAATCCCAGCACTTTGGGAGGCCAAGAGGGGTGGATCACGAGGTCAAGAGATCGAGACCATCCTGGTCAACATGGTGAAACCCCGTCTCTACTAAAAATACAAAAAATTAGCTGGGCATGGTGGCGCGTGCCTGTAATCCCAGCTAGTCAGGAGGCTGAGGCAGGAGAATTGCCTGAACCCAGGAGGCGGAGGTTGCAGTGAGCCGAGATCACTCCATTGCACTCCAGCCTGGGTAACAAGAGCGAAACTCCATCTCAAAAAATAATAATAATAATAATAATAAATAATAATAATAATTAGATGGGAGTGGTAGCAAGCGCCTGTGGTCCCAGGAACTTGGGAGGCTGAGTCTGCAGGATCTCTGGAGCCCAGGAGTTAGAGGTGCAGTGAGCCAATATGGTGCCACACTGCTCTCCCAGCCTGGGCAACAGAGCAAGACTCTGTCTCAAAAAAAAAAGTTGGTAACTATGAGGCTGCTAAGGAAGGTGCCCACTCAATTCACTGTGCTTTCTACTTCTCCTGCTGGAGAGTCTTGCTCTGGAGGAAGGTGAGGACCTTATGAGGACCCAGAAAGGGGAAGGTACTCTGGGGGGCAGGGGAAGGTATTCTGGGGGGCATGAGTGCAATGTGGGAATGTCCTATTTTGCCCTCCCCTCACCAGATAAGGTGAGGCTGAGTTAAAAAAAGGGAAGAAAGAAGGAACTGAAAGTGGGATTGCCAAATCAAACATCAGGACAGAGGCAGGCTTCCAGCCCGTAGTTCCCCATTTCTCCCTGGCCAGGCCCTCTTTAGTCTATCCCTGCCTCTATTGCTGGGCTCCCAGGCAGTCCCTTCCTTGTTCTAAATGCCTATTAGATTGGCTGCTTCCCTTCATTTCCCAGGTCCTAGTTCAAAGGCTCAACTGTTCAACTGAGTCATCAGATTGGAGAGGTCACGTGGAAGGTTTTAAAGTTTTACAGTTAAGGAAAAGCTGAGAAGAGAGAAGTGACAAGTCCAAGGTCCCTCCACAGAGCTGGGACTGCGATACCAGTGTCCTGACTCCCAATCAGGGGTTCAGTGCATCTCTTGATTCTTCCTGATCCGCGAACCCCAGTCGTAGATGGCTACTCGTGTCCCTCCGATCTCTAGGCTCTCCTCTGGTCCACACTGAGCATTGCCTTACTAACCTGGCTGGCAGCCTCACCAGCAACTGCATTACCTTCGGACTGAACAGACTAGTCCCCTGCTCCTCTCCAACACTCACATTTGCAAGGCATTCCATTTTGGCCACACCCTACCTCATTCTTCTCTATCTCCTGAACAAACAAACCTGTAGCCCAGACACTTTTTACCTCCAGGCCTTCCTGTTGTACCCTTGACTGTCCTTGCCAACCTCCCACTGCAAGGCTTCAGGCATATTTCTCCAAGGTTTGACTTCCTTTGCCCTGCTGAGGGCACAACTTACCTTCTTCAATTTGTCTCCTTCACAGCCTCCAGCACAAACTTGGGTGCAGTTGCCGTGCAGGAAAGCCCTGTTTAGTACATTGGAAATATTTTTTTTCTTTTTTCCTTTTTTTTTTTTTTTTTGGAGACAGCCTTGCTGTGTTACCCAGGCTGGAGTGTCATGATGCAATCTCAGCTCACAGCAACATCTGCCTCCCAGGTTCAAGCGATTCTCATGCGTCCCAAGTAGCTGGGATTACAGGCGCAAGCCACCACACTCACTAATTTTTGTATTTTTAGTAGAGATGGGGTTTCACCATGTTGGCCAGACTGGTCTCGAACTCCTGACCTCAAGTTATCTGCCTGCCTCAGCCTCCCAAGGTGCTGGGATTACAGGTGTGAGCCACGGCACTTGGCCATGTTGGAAATATGCAAAGGCGATGGGAGGAGGGAGGGAAAGAGCCAGCAGGCATAGAAGGGGCAGGAAAGCCTAACAGAACTGTGTTGTTTTGGTGTCATTTTCACTTCTGGACAATCCATTATACTCATTCAACCTCATGGCTCAATTCATTTCCATAAAGGCTTCTTGAGACCAGATACAGAGACTCACACCTGAAATCCCAATGCTTTGGGAGGCCAGGGTGAGAGGATCACTTGAAGCCAGGAGTTCAAGAACAGCCTGGGCAACACAGCAAGACCTCATTACTACAAAAAGATGAAAAATAAAACCAAATAATTACCCAGGCATGGTGGTGTGCACCTATAGTCCCAGCTACTCACGAGGCTAAGGTGAATGGATCGCTGGAGCCTAGGAGTTTGAAGCTACAGTGTGATTGTGCCACTGCACTCTACTGCGGGCAACAGAGAAAGACCCTGTTACAATTTATTGAGCACTTACTTTGTGCCAGGCATGTGCCAGGTGCTACCAAGGCCACAAAGCTGAATGAGACTAGTTCCATGATCATCTAAAGGAAGTCCGGATTAATATGATGCTTTAGGAGTTTTGAGGAGAGAGCAATTTCTGTAAGCAGGTGGATTTTCATGCAGGAGGAGGGGCTCAGATGGGCCCTGAAGGATATATCATATTTGGCAGAAAAAGGAGGAAACATATCAGAAGAGCGTTTTAGGAGGAGAGAACAGGAGAACAGCCTAAGCAAAGGTATGGGGACCAGAGAGTCGTGGCGTTCCCGGGTTTCATATACCCCATTGTGGCTGGAGTGTAGGAACCTTTAGGAGACCACTGAGAATGAATAGTAGAAATAAGACAGAAATTAGACAGGCTGGGCTCACACCATGAACACCAGGCTAAGGAGTTTATACCACAGTGTGAGACCAGGGGAATCAGGCTTCAGAGAACTTTGAGCAGTGACCTGGTTAGGCTGTTCTCAGATTGCAAGGCAGGTATGAGCAGAAGGAGCCTAGCAGCCAACAGCTTGGCAGGCAGGTCACAGCCAGATGCCTTCATTCATTTTCACCTGGCAATTGTTTGTCCTCTGCTCCAATCTGCCTACCCCTTCCCCATCTTAGAGTCTTTTCTAAGTTGGTACTGAATTAAGCCAGAGGGTATATACTTTCCTCTTGGTTATCCTACCAGTCCAATGTTCTACTACGCCCCAGCTGGACAAAGTCATAGGTTTCAGTTCAAAACTGACCTTGGGAGGCTGGGCACAGCAGCTCACACCTGTAACTCCAACACTTTGAGAGACCAAGGCTAGAGGATCTCTTGAGCCCAGGAGTTCATGATTAGCCTGGACAACACACCGAGACTCCGTCTCTATGAAACAAACTTCAAAAATTAGTTTGGCATGGTGGTGTCTACCTGTAGTCCCAGCAACTAGGGAGGCTGAGGTGGGAGGATTGCTGAAGTTTAGGAACTGCAGTAAGCTACGATTGCACCACTGCACTCCAGCCTCGGCAATAGTGAGACCCTGTCTATAAACAAACAAACAAGGCCAGGTACAGTGGCTCACACCTGTAATCCTAGCACTGTGGGAGGCCGAGGTAGGTGGATCACGAGGTCAGGAATTCGAAACCAGCCGGGCCAAGATGGTGAAACCCCCAACTCTACTAAAAATAAAAAAATTAGCCGGACACAGCAGCTGGCGCCTGTAACCCCAGCTACTTGGGAGGCTGAGGCAGAGAATTGCTTGAAGCCAGGAGGCAGAGGTTGCAGTGAGCCAAGATCACACCACTATACTCCAGCCTAGGCAACAGAGGAGACTCCGCCTCAAAAAAAAAAAAAAAAACTAACCCTGAGAGTAAGTTTTTCAGCTCTAGTCCCTGCTCCTCTCCAACACTCACACATTTAGTGCTGCTCCCCCAATAAAGACAACAAGGCATGAATCCTAACTGGACAGCCTCCTCCAGCTGAGTGCGAAACAAAGCGTGTCTTCCACTCATGGAAAGGATTAGAAGACAAAGAGGGTGGGGAAGCACCTGTGACCTCATGTGTTTGAGTTTCTGTGGGACACAAATAGACTTTGGTGACGGCAGAGGTGGTAGCTTGAAGGAGGGCACAGCTGCCTCACCCCCCGCGCCAGGAGGAATTCAGATCACTCTCATGGGACACTGACCACTGGCAGAGGTTAGCTGGAAGGAATGGGGCTTCCCAAGGCAGGAACTGGAAATTTTTCAGAAAAGGGAGCAGCACAGCCCCAGCACCAGGTGTGCCGCAGAGCCGGTTCGCTGCCCCCAGCTGCCGTGGTGGCTGTTTTTCCCCTCCCCCAGCCCAGAGCACGATGTCCCCACAACTCCCTGCCCAGGAGTCACCCATTTTCCAGACCCAGAGTCCAAGCTAGGGGATACACAGGGACAACAGCAGGGGCAGTGACAAAGTGGGCACCCTGCAGGCCTCTGGCTCCCCACTGACTCTGGGAAGACTCCACTGTGGCTGCCCCTCCCCACTCCCAAAGAACAGGCCTTGCTGGGCAGCTGAACCAGGGCAGGGTCACTGAGTTCCAGGAGTGTTTGTAAATACCTCCCACAGCCAGGGTGCGGTGACACAGTACGGCTTCTCCTTCCTCCCACCCTGCCTGCCTCTAGCTCCGACTGAAAGAGGAAGAGTTTCAGTCAGCACGTGGAC